TGGGGAACGTTGGTTTCCTCCGTCACTGAAGCAAGCAAGCCTCATGTTAGTTTCAAGCTGCCTGTCTGCCAGCCGCCATCTTGGCTGACAGTTAATTTGCATATCTCGCTGATTAGCCAATGGGAAGGGTAGCAGTTGTACACCAATTACCATGTTTCTCTTTTATTAGATAGGATAGGATTATTATTATTTTAATGTTCATAAAATCATCCCTTTTTAAAATCAGATGCCCACTGGTATACAGCTCTCATTTTACAAAAAAGATATCAATATAAAAAAATGTTTCTTAGGGTATGTCATGTCCTAGAGAACTCTCCTTCACCTCTTTTAGAAGATAAAGCTGTTTGAGGAAAAGCTAAATTCCTTTTTCAACATGTGTATAATTTGGGCTTTGGAAGATGATTGCCAATTCAGCATTGTTTCAACACCAGGAAGTGGCAATCTAAGAAGTGACACATTAACACTTTTAAACAGTCAGTAAGAATCTGAATATCTGTAGCTGTTGGATGCACAATGAATTCTTAGTCAGAGTTAATTCTTAATGAAATGCTAAAGCCCCAATCCATGTATGTTTGGTGAAATCTGAGCCTGGAGCTTCCTATCTCTCCACAGCTCAATAGAGGCCAGTTTAGGATCGGGGATACAAGGACTCGGTGTCCTCTTTCCAAGAGAGAAGCACTAGAGCTATTAGCTGGAAAGCTTGACTGGCCTCACAGAGGCTATGATAAAGTTGAACAAATCAAGAAATCACCTGGTCATTCAAATGGACCAGCAAATTTATCCCCAGGCAATGTAAACTTTCATGTATTTAATACTATTCTCCTTGGCTTCATGATTAGTTTCCCTCTGAATTACTTTTTTTTTTTAATTTCCACTTACAGCTGGAATTCATTGTATGGTTATTGTTAGCTGTTAGTGTTCTGTTTGGGTAAAGCAATGTTGCTTCGTGCAAAACCCATAGAAGATACCAGCATGAAGAAAGAGATCCACTCGCTCCCTTAGAGGTTCACACGGCCCAATAAAAACTGAAAACAGCAGCCATTCTGTGTAGTTCCTCACATAGGATGCCAGTTGACAAAACAACTTTGTGCCTTCACTCTGCAAGCTACCTAATTAAGGAAATGTAATTTTGAGACAACAGATACATGTTTAAGTAGGAAACTCATATGTATTTTACTCTATTATTTCTTTAAATGAGTTATTTCTCTCTAACTTGTTTCCCAGAAGCTTTAGGTGGCTTACAGGGGAAACACAAGCACAACTTAACAAGTAAGTAGTGAGGAATTTTCTAGAGTGAGTATGTATTCTTCTTGTAAAAATAAAAAAAAGGAGCCCTAAGCTAGTTTGCTCAGTGGTTAGAGCGTCAGCCTGCAGATTGAAGGGTCTCGGGTTCAATTCCAGTCAAGGGCATGTGCTTCAGTCGCAGGCTTGATCCCTGGCCCCAGTTGGGGCATGTGCAGGAGTGCAGGAGGCAACCAATCAATGTGTCTCTCTCACATAGCTGTTTCTCTCTCAGTCTCTCCCCCTCCCTTCCACTCTCTCTAAAAATCAATGGAAAAAAATATCCTCGGGTGAGGATTAACACACACACACATACACACACACACGCGCGCACACACACACACGCGCACACACACACACATGAATAAAAGAGAGGAATCACAAAGAAAAGTACCTAAAATCAAGACAGAAATGAAGTGATGCTAAGAAGGCAGTGTTTAGGCTGGCGTCTGATATGAGCGGACAGATTTCAGAGTGCTGTACCACGCTTAGGCTGGGCATTGGTAATGACGCAGCAAGCAACGTGGAAACGGTCCCTGCCTCCACCACTCTGTCTCCTGTGATCACGTCGATGAGCTCAGAATAAATTGTGGCAGGACTTTAAAAGGGAGGAAGGTTCTGTGATGAGACACTGTCACAGGGGGGTCTGAATTAGACACGGTGTCAGAAGGCTCACCCGACAAGAGACAGTCAAGCGGAGACATGAAGAATAAGTAGGAATGAATTGGGTGACGAATTGAGGAAGGAACTTTTCAGACAGTAGGAAGAGCTTATGTAAATATCTTTCACATAGAATGATTGAATGAGAGTTTGGAGAGGGGCTGGAGCAGCACAGAGGAGCTAATATTTAAGTTTTCTATATACCAACACTGTTTCTATATATCAAGCCCTTCCTATGCATTAATTCTCTTAGTCTTTATGAAAACTCAATGATGTAGATACTATATTTTCCCATCTTAAAGATCAGTGAACTGAGGCATGGAGAGATTAACAATTGTTTGCAAGGTCACACAACTGGCAAGTAGAGAGACCGGACTGTGAACCTCAA